AAAATTTTGTCCGTCGTGGTGTCAACGTTGGTGAAGGTTGTTGATTAGATCGTGGGCTAGCCGATAGCCACTGTCCACTTCACCCACACCTCAATTTAATAATAATTTTATGTTTAAGGCACTAATTATTTTTTTTCCGTTTTTAATTTTTTTCTCCTTCTTCAAATTTTATTTTTCTGTCTCTATTTACTTCTATTCGAAAATTCATTGCAAAACAGTTTCCTTTAGTGATAATCGATGTGCCAAAGATGTGGCTTATGTATCGAACAATTTATTATAAACTTATTGTAAACAGATAAATTTATTACGATTAAATACATAGATTAGAAATAAATATCGTCGAAGTACAGTTCCATGAAAATGTTGAACACAGAATTTTTAATTTAACGTAAAGGATTATTCGGTTATTTGTACCATGGTGGGTTTATCGTTTGAAAAATGTAAATTGGATGAAGTATATACACACTATGAGATTGACGAGTATATTATCGTTCCAGACATAATTAATTAACCAATTTATTGTTGTTGTATCCTGACGTTCGTTGTTGTTCATATAAAGTATGCTGCAACCAAAGGATCGCGAATTTCATCCCATATCACCAACGACGAGAACACATGCGCATTAAATCCAATTTTCTTCGCCTCATTAAAATGATTATTTCGTGTAGCGATCGTTAAGCTCCGATGCTGCAGTACCCATTTGCCAGAGCGCTTTACGTAACTGTCTAGTGACAAAATGGCGGTACGGGGAGCCATTTCCTTTCGTTAATTAACTATGTTCCTCTTTTATTTTAAGCTTCCTTTCACTGACAATACGCCAACAAGAACATCCAGTAAACGAATAAGCGAATTATTCTGGCCTGTATAATATTTAATACGATAAGCAAGCAGCTTGACTTTTGTCCATAATTGAGTAGCAAAAAGGAACGATTGCGCCTGTTGAAATTTTATTCGATAATTACGTCTATCAAAGGATGTACTTATTCCAAACGGAAAATTTGTTTAATTTTAACAGGAAAGTTTATTTATTAGTAGGTTCCTCGATTTTTCATCTTCTTCGAAAAAGAAAAGTATTAAAAGAATTAGGAAAGATTCGCAATTTTTCGTTGAGAATGCAACCACTGTTCAAAGCGATATTGGATTTTTCAGGCTAAGAAGAAGTTCTTTGTAAAGAGTCATTGCTGAAGGTCCTCCGAAATCGTGGTGAGATTGAAAGAGAAAATAGTAACGGAAATGATCAAAGTTGGATCGTGGTTATTACCGATTAGATAAATGCAAAGAATTCTTATCAATGTTACCCAGTTACTTTCATTTTTAGCAAGAAACTTCGAAATGCAATTAATATTTAGCGACAAAGAATTTTTAAATTCATTTTTTAATGAAAAATGGAAACCATACGAGTCGTCATGGTGTCTAAAGGCCCTACACTGTCTATCAAAACTATCAGTAACAGTGCCATTTATAAAAAATTTACATGTAACTACCTATTGCGAAAGATGACGAAGAAAGACACTGAAACAATACTCGATACAGCAAAGAAGCATAACAAAATGGCGCATTACAGAAATATTCTCTATCTAGGTCCCAACCAAGATGAAATTTCCGGAGTTCCATAGTAAAGTGTCCCAGCCGTCTCTGGCACAGCTCCGAAAATCACCATGACCATCATGGGATCGGAATAATGGTTCCTAACCTAAATTCAACACGGTTTCATCAAGCTGTTGACGTGCCTCATACACGCTAGAAGCCCATTGTCTTGCCCTCTATTGCTTCTCGATATTCCATTACGCCGTTCGACAAAGCGTCACGAGAGTCAGACGGAGAAAATGGCCACCGGAAGTGGGCCATTTACAGGCAACCATGCGAGCGTGCTGGAAAGGGACGCGCGGGCTGAAAGTGCGGGATACGTTCGGCACGGCGTTTAGTATTCGCCTTAACGACGTTGCACGGGACGAAAATGCAGATCGCAGTTGAGATCCGCGGCAAAGAGTCTGCAACGCGCAGCGCTGATGCACGACGGGAAATTTGACATGGCGGTAACGACGATCACGTCGAATGAACTTAAATTGTATCCCGACTGCAGGAAGAACAAGTAGAGGGCATGCTGTACATAGGGGAATCGTGCCCAATGGCGGTTTAGGATGCGACGTTCGTGTCACGATGATTCCTGTGGAGAGATCAGGCTTGTTTCGTGATAAAAGTCTCCTCGAATACGGTATTCGAGGTTAATGTACGTGCTCGTTACGGACGTAGTTTCCAGAATTTATAATTTAAACGTCGAATCATAACGAGGTTATGATACATCGATATAGCACAATGGAATATAAAAGCGTGGAAATATGGTATAGATAAATGAAAAAGTATAAAAATATTAAATGCAAAGATACAATACTAAAGAAATATGGGAAAAATAGAAATGTAAAAGTGTGATATAAAGGTATGTAGAAAAATAGGAGTTAAAATTGTACAATAATATGGAGATATGTAGGAATACAGATATGAGGAATAAAGAAGTATAATAATATAATACTAAAGAAATATGGGTAAGTGGAAGTGTAAAAATATGATATAAAGGTATATAGAAAAATAGGAGTGAAAATTGTAATATGGAGATGTGTAATACAGAAATATACTATACCAAAATAAAAGAATGTATAGATATATTATAAAAGGACGAAGAAATGTAAAAATATAATATTGAAAGAAATATAGAAAAATATAAATATAAAAATGTGATATAACGAAATGTAAGAAGAAAATAGAAATGTAATGTAATATAAAAGAATATAGACAAGTAGAAAAATAAAAATATAATATACTGTAGGAAGATAGAAGCATGGAAAGGTAAATACGAATATAATATAATGAAATGTAAGAAAAAATAGAAATGTGACATAGGGAAAATGAAAAAATATATAGAAATACGAAAATATAATATAAAAGAATTTAACACGTAAGGTAAATGAAAAGTAAGGATTTATAATTCATAAATCGAATTTAGAAATTTAAATTAGTAATAAAAAGTAGAAAAATGTGCTATTATCACATTTAAAAAAATTGTTTATCAACTCCTTTTTGAAATCTATTTTAAAATTAGCTATTAACAACAATTACATGCTGTTGGATTTTAATTGATAAATTTTCCTGCAATAAATTTACACTTTTTGAAAATTTCGATTATGTCCCAGGTTGCATGTAGTATTTTCGTTAATCCTTTCTAATCAGAATTTTGTTCGATCATAAAATAAAATAATTCTAATCAATTCACGTTTTATATTAAGTTAGAAAATACTAATAATTCATGGCGACGAATTGGACATAGTGGAAAAAATAGCGATTTAATAAGGTACAGCAACGAAACGATAAATGGGCAAAGCTAGGTTTAAGAAACATAGATTTATGAGCGTTTAATTTCGAAGTTACGACGCGTTATAGAGTTTCTCGTAAACTTTCCGTTCCTAGATTTCTTCCTAGCATTCACAGTTTTCTGCTCTTTTGTCTCTCTACCTTTAAAGATCTTTCCTTCGCCCTCGCAAACCGCGAAAGTACATTTGCGGCGTCGAGGCACGTGCAGAATACTGTTTTTCCCTTTTCCTTCTTCGGTACTTCCTTCATTTCTGCCTCTATTTATATCTACTATCTTTCATCTTCTTTAACTACATGCTAGTTAAAACCAGTAATTCTTCCTTTAAAATTTAACTCATATCGATGGTATAAAATTCATGTCACAGGAATATTATGTTATATCCTACTCCTAAAATTAATCGTTAATTTATTTATCTTGAAATTTATATGGAATTATTATTGATTTTATTCGTTTAGGACAGATAATTTCAAGTAAAATTATAATTATTAAATACAAAATATAATATAGAGTATATAAAAAATGATGAAACGGATTTTCTAGATGGACAATAATTCCTTTTCTTTGTGTAATTATTATATAAATTTAATGTAGATTATTATTGATTTATTCGTTTCGGATAGGGATAATTTCAAATAAAATTATAATTATTAAATATGAAGTATAATGTAGAGAATATAGTGAATTATAAAACCGAGTTTCTAATTGGACAATATTTTCTTTTATGAAAACCCTTCTGGATTACCATTTTATTTTTCACACATATATACCGCACATGAATCTTCCATATGATGATAACAGTTATGTATATATTTATTTATTTTTCAATTAAAAAACAGTTATATTCATTTGAAAGTAATGTTAAATATAGTATATATGTTATAGCTATTAAAATATAACAATTAAGACTACCATAATATCTGACTCGTGGTAGTTTTATTTAATTAATTCTTTTTCTATTTAATTAATAATATATTATAATAAGAAATAATCTATTTCTATTTAATTATAATTTTGAACTGTTTTCATTTCGATATTCTCTCATTTCACTTCAAAAATGTACATGCACTTATAGTCTTCGATTTTGTAGTTAATAGATATCCAAAATTCTTATTTTATATATAAATTTGTTTACAAATTAGGAATGAAATTTTCAAAGAAATCTTTGGTATATTAATCATCTCGCTTTACAAGCTCAGAGTTTATTTCTAAACATTTGAAGCAATTATTCGTACACAAAATTCATCCGAGTCTACAACTTTTGGAGCACCATGTATATATATTTCAATTTTTCTCCGTGTACATCCACCAGCTTTTTCGCGGTAAACCATAATCGGTAAAAATGGGAGCTCGACGTGACAGGGATTCGTCGCTATCCGAGTGAAAAATAAAAAGCAAATAAAGAATGGGAGATAAAATGGAAGGGAAGAAAGAGGTTAGGAAAATGTCCGCTCACGCGATGGTCGATGCGCGGGCGCGGAGGTACAGGTAATTTACACAGTTCCATTACATTTATATCGAAGAATTACATTTGTATTAATGCCGCTTAATGCCGGGTGCTTTCGATTCGAATTGGAAATCGCTGGGTGAAGTCTGCTCGCCGGTGGGCCATGCAACGGCACAGCGAGAATCCCGGTTATCTCTCCAACCTAACCTAGAACGATAAAAAGGACATTTGTGTAAATTTGTTATTAAAATCGCCGCTGCCCGAGGTACCGAGATTTTTCCATGCCGGCAGGTATCGACGTGAAAAGAAACGATTCTGAACTGATCGCTGTTCGCCTTTTATTTCATCCCTTCTCCCTCGTCCGCCATTGCTGTTAGCCGGAAGTGCTTCGAATCAGGGGAAGATTAATACGAGAGAGCATCGAGTGGAATCGTCGACTAACAAATGCGCAGCGAATCTCGTGCTTCCAACGATTACTATTACTTCTATAGTCCGCGAGGCGGAAGACGGAACAGTATAAAGAGATTTCGTGTAATCTCGTTAGCTGCCTCAGTTCCCTTCTGGTAGCGTTCGTCCTATTGACGAGACCGATTGTATAGTGAGCATTGAAAGCTGGTAAAGAGAAACTGGATGAACAGATACTGATTTTAATAAGCGTTTCCATCGGTTTGTTCGTTTCGTTAGTTACTCGTCTTTTAGTTTTATTCATTTCTGTGACGGCATCATTCTCACGCTTCCTAATAGATAGACTCCTACTTGAAAGAGATTCGAGGGCTTCCTCGGTAAAAACCTATATATATTATACAATTTCCTATATATACAATTTTCAAACAAATTTTCAATAGTATCCTCATATAAGGCAAGACCTGTTAGGTTAGGTTAGGTAAAACTTATATATACAATTTCCTATGTATACAATTTCCAAACTTTCCAATTGTATCCCCATATAAGGCAGGGCCTCTTAGCATAGGTTAGGTCAGGTAAAACCTATATATACAATTTCCTATATATACAGTTTCCAAACTTTCTAATAGTATCCCCATATAAGGCAGGGCCTGTTAAGTTAGGTTAGATAAAACTTATATATACAGTTTCCAAACTTTTCAATAGTATCTCCATATAAGGCAGGGCCTGTTAGGTTAGGTTAGGTAAAACTTATATATACAATTTCCTATATAAATAATTTCCAAATTTTCCAATAGTATCCTCACATAAGGCAGGGCCTGTTCGGTTAGGTTAGGTAAAACCTATATATACAATTTCCTACGTATACAATTTCCAAACTTTTCAATAGTATCCCCATATAAGGCAGGGCCTCTTAGCTTAGGTTAGGTTAGGTAAAACCTATATATACAATTTTCTATGTATACAATTTCCAAACTTTTCAATAGTATCCCCATATAGGGAAGGGCCTGCTAGATAGCCATACTGATGACCCCCACAATTCCAATTGTTTTTTTAATTATTTATTGATGGATGTCGTATGACTGAAGAAAATAGACGAAGGGGATTGTAAAAGAGGAAGTCTGGGGCCCAGATGGAAACCAGACCCATCAGGAAATGGTCGTCAACGATGTTTATCGATGGGTCTGCAATGTTTTAAGTGGTTCAAGAGATGCGGATGGTATTTCTAGAAAATCTCAAAAAGTAAAAGAAGACTATGAAAAAATGTTATTTGAACATATTTCAATTTTTGGATCTGTCTATGGCTCACTTTGACTGAATTTATTTTAACGAATACCAAATTTTCTTAGTAAATGAAATCCGTTCTAAAAAATAAAAGGTAGATCATACTAGGGCAAGATATATTACAGTTAAGATATGTTATATATTAAGATATAATTTCTAACCTCAAAATATTTCCCAAACTAGTTGCAGTTAAGTTAAAAAGTCTACACTGTCTCAAATAAACAAATAAAGCTTCTCTATATCAAATTTTCGGGATTATTGAATCCCTTTTGCCCCAAAAATTTCTGTAAGTGGAAACGACATAACCTAAAACTCGTAACTTTTTTCTCCGAATTTCGACTCATCGAGATACGATCGTATTAATTAATTAATTAATTAATTATTAGCGTATAGAACTGTTTCTAAACCATAGGAAAGTTTCCGTTTCTTACGTTGCCGACGTTCCCAATAGAGAGTCTCGTGGATGCTATTTCGTACGATCGATTTTCATTCAACTGCAGTTGCTCGGGGGCCTCGGTAATTAATTCGCTGAATCTGGCGGCCACTTGCTTCCATTTCACCAGGTCGGCCGGCTGTAACAGCAAAGCGATCGATCAGACACGTTGAAATCCCCGTCGATCTGCATCGCCAATCGTCTTTGCCTGTTTCCATCATCGGAATGTTTCCAAATCGGATCGACGATGCACTTCTCTCAAGAGGGTCTTAAGAACTGTAAAAGCTCGTAAAAATGACAAAGCCCTTGAGGAAAAGGGGATTAAACGAAGTGAACGTGTAAAAATAATCATTCGCGAACTACACGATGAAATAAACTGAGAATGATTGTGGAAAGGAAAATAAAATACAATCGTGCATCGAGTATATGTTGTCAGAAAATTTAGTTTTAATGGAGATCAAGTGTATGTCGGTAAACAGAAAGCTTAACATTTATCTTAATCGATAATATTATTTATCATTATTATTATTTATTAATATTATTAATTATTATTTATTATATCAATACAAATTATATTTTCAGACATATTTTTGAAACACAATTTTCAATGTATAGTCATGTTTAAAATGGAAGTTTTCAAGCACATGGAAATTTATTAAAGATTCATAGATCAATGGATCTTTCTTTCAAAAACGTTCTTAATTGCAATTTTATTGTTATGTATCTTTCTTAGTATCTATCAATTAGTCATTGATATTTTTTGTTATTTAATATTTAATAACAATAATGATAAAAATTTTATGACTATATGAGACTCTTTTTTGGAGAATATTTTTATAATAAAACGAAATGTAAATTTATTAATGTTACTAATTTCAAAGAAAGAACAAAACGGAAATATTTTATGGTCCATAAGCCTGGATTACCATAGCACTTTTTTTCGAAGTATAATAAATAATACAAGCATATAAAAGTGACAGTAATCTCTTTTAAACTGCAAATAAAATAAATCACGAACTTATTTTCACGAATTTTGAATAAAGGATAACACGAATATACTTTACGGCCCATAAATTTGGATTATAATGCTATTTTCTTCCTTTCTCTTTGTCAGAGTGGTAAATAGTACGAGTTATAGTAGTATAACAGTACCGTATATATTAAACGAAAAAACTGTAGACTGTTTAATATTGTCGACTTCAGAAAATGGACAAAACGCAAGCATTTTACATTTCACAAGGCTGCATTCTGATGATACCTTTTTTTGAAAGCATAGTAAATAATATAAACTCTTTTCTCTGTTCTTTTTACGACGATAGAAGAACCAAAAAGTACCGGTAGAGAAATGGTCTTAAGTTCCCAAAACTTTTCGTACTTTAGTAGCTTTCCTTCTATTAAATTGCCCAGGAAATTTACAGCTGAATTTAAGAAGAACTTCTAAGTAATGCATTTTGCACAGAATTGTCAGATAAATAAACAAAAACATTATAAATATGTTCCTTCGAGTTTCTTTCATTTTTCGCCATTTTGCCTAGAAATCTTTCATGCAAGGATTTTTCGAGGTAGTTTTTACAAATCCCTTGAGTATCCAACCCATTACCATTAAAAGGCTTCAACACATGCTAGCATAAATAATAATCGGATTATGTCATATTCGATGAACGAGTTAAAATATTGTAATTAAGATTCAACTTCGCAACATCCTGCATTAATCTAATCGAAAAAGGGTACTTTTTCAGGTCCATCGAATAATTTCGAAAAATATTCTGTCTCATATTTCGTTCAATTATGTAATGCACGCATAATTAATATGAATTTAATTATTTTAACCTATACACTACAGCAGCGCCACTACGGGGATATTTATAACCAACGTGTTATTTAATTCCATATTCGTCCGTAAAGAAGAAAAATTGAGTCGAATCTACAAATAAATTCGCATACATTCATAATTTATTCCTTTCCATGACAAAATATTCTTTCCAGAAAATTAACCGAATGAAGAAAGTATTTAGAGTGCAAAATATAAATATAAATGACATAAGTCACGAGCAAATTTTAAATCTGTTTGAAGTCGTTAAGAAAAACGGTAAAAAAATGTGTGTATTTCGTCATGGATTATCTTTCGTGATTTTTACGTTCTATGTGCAATTAGAATCGCGGTAAATAATTTCTTTCCAATTTCGCTGGACGTGTACAGAAATGCCCGTTTAATCGTCGCACGCTCGTGTCCGCATCGCAACAGTTATCCGGGGAGATAGTTGTTCTGGGAATTGTCGGCTATTATCTCCCCGGGACTCGCTCATTGTTGAGTACGTCGAAGACCAGAGTGAGAAGCATTCAGAGCGAGTGAAACGGAGACAAAAGTTCGAGCGGCTGTTTTACGACGTGCCAAAATCGTGCAAGTACTGCGCGTTCCAGAAAAGAAGGCACGTGATTAACCCTCGCGAAATGGTTACGGGGTCTTTAGAGACCCTACTATTTTTCGATTGAGTGGAAGTTAGTGATGTAGGCAAGGAGATCAACGTCTACTGACCCTACTCTTATCGCTGTAATATAAACTGACTGCATGGAGAATTCCAACGTCATTAGCTACAATAGTATTCAGTGGAACAGTGGAAAGAATAAATCTGCCAAATATATCTTCATTTTATGAATTATTTTATGAATTATAATATAAAGCATATTATCTTGGCCACTGAAGCTACGGGCAGAAAACTCAGCAAACAAAATGAATCATCACCAAGTATTATAATGTCTAGGGAACCGTAACATGTATAGTATGAAATGTGTCAAATGTTAAGGATTCACATGCAAAAAAATTGTAATAAAACATAATTATGTTGTATGTACCCAGTGATAAATAAATAACAAATATGTTTATAAAATTTTTCATTTTTTAAATAAACTATTTTCCTCCGTATATTATAAATATTGTTAGATACTATGCTACACCAAAAAGTTAGATGCAAAGCCGACCAGGTGTCAATTTGCTGCGTCGCTCATCTACGGTCAGCTATTCCAGGGAGTGGTGGGAGTAGTGGAATAAGGGTGGGGGTCTCGAGCATGATTGGCGGAATATCAGTGTGGGGTCTCAAGAGACCCCGTTACCGTTGAACGAGTGAGCGTGCTCCAAGGATTAACTGATTAACTCCACTGACACTCCCTTGATCATCGGTCACCTTTTTCAGCCAATAACGAACACTGCCTGTGATCAAAGGACTGTCAGCAGTGTCAGTTAATCAGCCGTAAAGACGTAAACACTCTGTGCCTTCTTTTCTCGAACGCGCAATACGGTCATCTTTGTCTCAACGTAATTTTTACACGGATATACATCACGGTTATATTACTATGGAATGAAACAAGCAATTCGCGAAATTAATGAATACGTACATTAATATTAAGATAACAGGGTACGAAATGTAATATAAATAAATAGGTAAAAATTATCATACACCTTGGCCACGTGCTTTGCCGAACATTTGCACGACGAGGTTAAAACGCGCAAAGAGATCGGAACGCGCCAGAGACAAACGAATAACAATACATCACGCCAAGAGTAGACACAAATCAACACAAAGGCCAGCAGAACGACTCTTCTTGAATCGTGAGGTAGAAGAATGTAGGAATCTTAGATAAAATTTTGGTGGAAATTTTTAATAAAATCTTATTTAAAATAAGACTGTATTTTTAGAAAAGCATCAGTGAATAGTTGACAAGATATTTGAAGAGAATAATGAGGAGGGAGGTTAAAACCAAAATATAAATTTTTAATTGGCACTTCGTTCTTGAAATATTATTTTAAGCTAGAATGACGTGTTTATGTCAAATCGCATAACGATGACCTACATCTGTCATGCGACGTAAATTATACTTAACATACTTCAACGTGTAGAAAATTTGTGTAGATTGTACAATTTTTGTATAGTTTTAGGATCATATTTCTTTATAATTTTGTAGTAGTTAATTAAAATGAAATACTTTTTTGAAATAGAATTTTTCGTAATTGAAGATATTATTTCCTTCGTATAGAGACGTTAGTAATACAACCGTCTTCACTATAGCAGTAGTCGTCGGCTGTCAACTGACCGACGAGGCAATAACGGCAGTACTGGTTTAGGTTAGATAAGAGTGCAGCTGCTGGCAGGCCGCCATTTACACTACTGCGAAGTCTCACAGATGCACACGTGTACGTATGATTCAGTATATGATACTGAAAGTCTTTTATTAAGATCTTGGAGACTGACAAATACCCGATAAATGCCACAAAGTCAAAATTTTGTATTTTGTATCTACCACCTCTTCCCACCTTCAAATTTTATATCAATCGACCATCGATATTTTTCGGAAAAATAATATAAAATGATTCCGCAATTACGGAATAAAAAAAAGGAAAAAATTTATTATTATTATTTTAGTGACTATTTAGTAGCAATTAGTCAATTTTGAGTTATAAATGATTGTTGGTAGGGATAACGTCGTAACAGATAAGCGTGCATTGACTGTACATATACTACTACGTAGTTCCACTATATAGGGTGTTCCAAGCGACATGCACATCTTTATAATTTCTAACCTATATGTTACAAAAAAGAATGTATTATACAAACGTTGCATGTTTACATTACTTTATATTAAACAGTGCATACACCTTTTTCATAAATATAAACACTGCTGTGTTGAATTTGACATCACGCGAAATAAAATTTTCAGAAAACGAAGCCTAGTCATTCCCTATCTAGTATATTTAGGGTTAACAAGATATCTTTACTCAGAACTTGACGTTCTTCCAAATTTTTGTTGAGAAAGTAAGATAAGAAATAGTATTTCATATAGGATAGCAAAGTTAACCTAAAAATTTTCGAAACACTTTTACCTATAAAAAGGTGCATGCACTATACGATACACCTCTCGAAACCATGCAACTTTCGTATAAAATATCTTTTTGTACATACTTGTGAACCACCCTGTATATATATATATATATATAACTCCGTTATGTAACTCCGTTATATAATACGGAACGATTTAATACCATTTGTAATAAATGCTACGAGATATCCAGCGAAACCAACGTTTCTCTTTCCATTATTCAACGGTGACTGTGGCGCGACGAATGAAATGACTTTCAAAACAGTATAGCTAATACAGTGAGAAACAAGCATCGTGAACAGAGACGTTTGAAATGATCGGAATTCTCTGCTGTAAACGTAGGAACCGGCTGCGGATCCTCCTTTTCTATCCGACAAAGCGTTTGTATATTCTTCGTAGCGCGCAATATGGCGGCTGGCCTTTGACCCCGGACGTGTTTGACGTCGCTGCCTCGGCCGAAACCAGTGCCAGTGCCTCTCTTTGTGAATTGCCGTGGCACGTGCAGCCAAGATCGTGTTTCCCTTCCTCCTCGGATTATTCTTTCTCCGACATATTGTGCCGCGCGCCCTCTACGTTTTATCGACATCTGCCGCTGTGTGGCGGGCCCGTCGAATGGCTTTTGGCATCGGAAATGATAAAAGAAAAAGGTGAACAAAATGAAGGCCGAAATAAAAGATTCTGCACGAAACATTGTAGACTCATTCACGAAGAGAGCTTCCATCTAATTGGTGCGTTTAGTAATGTGTTTTTATAGGTCAGTAATATAGAGGATGCTGAGATTTTGAGGTTATGAGTGTTTTTCGGAATGGAACGATATATTTCTGTACTCTTTTTACAGAATTTTGTGTTTGTTTTAAACGAATTGCAGATTCGTGTATAGTATGGTGTTTGAAAGTGCAGTGAGTGAAAGAAAATGTGTACGTATTTGTGAACTACGTGTGATGTGTATGTAACCTATGTGCAGGTAGTTAGAAAGACTAAAATCATGAAGAAAAAGAGTTTGTCAATGAGATTTGGGAGTGAGAATTTTTAGAATTTTAAAATTTAATGGAGAGGTAAAGAAAATATAGCAAGAAATATACAGGGTGTTTAAAAAACAGAGTACAACAATTAATTTGGGAAATAAAAGTATCTAACGAATATAGTAAATCCTAGAATCAATTCTTTCGAAGATAAATCGACTTGTATTATTTAGATATATTTCATTAAACGCAGTTATTGTTTTATCTGATATTTCATGTATCAAGCTCTGTTCTAACCTATCTTTTAGATATATAACCTCAAACTATTCTTATAACAATGATTTTTAATGATATTCTTTTACTCATGGCACACATCAATTTGTAACTAAAATTCGACATGATTATTGATATAATAAACTTAAAAAAAAATAATAATAATAATTCCAACTGTCTACTATTTTGTTGCACCACATTTAATGCAAAACTAAGAAAAATGAGATCACTATTTCAGACTATATAGTCCTCCCTCAATTTCTATATATAAAATATTTTTTCGAATTTACAAATCATGTTATTTCAGGATACTCTTCATGCATTTATGTAATTTTCCCAAATTTTCAACTTTTCGATTCCGAGAAAATTTATCAGTGATATAAAGAAGAAAATTAACTACGGGTGTCAAACCCAGACTTGTGGACCACAGTCGCTTAGACTTTCGACAACTATGGAGGGGTAGAATTCGATTTCTGTTATGGCAATTTCGTTTCAGGTTCACTTGTGTTAAAGTGTTTTACCGTCAAAGTGAAAAAGACCGGAAGCAGTGCTATTGGAAGCGGTGAACCACGGAGCTCTGATCTTTCGGACGGAGGGCCGGAAAGGGTCAAGTGTCTCAGTAAATCAAGAAGACCAGCCAGTAGCTCTCCGTGACGTCCACCGACGTCTTGTCGTATCAATCCGAGTGCATCCTTGGCGATCACGTGGGCAGTCACTCCGGGGTTGTCAGCTGGTCGATGCAAAATTACCATTTAATCACTGGTCCTTCTTACTTCACGGCGAGGGGGGAAAGGGAGCATTAAGATTTATGGCAACGAGAGAACTGGATTTACAGCAAACGATCAGAGCTTTCATGTATGTGCGTTGTCGGAAAAACGTCTAGCGGAACGGTAGAGAAGTAAGAGGCATGCTTTCTTGGCTCTGCTTAACTTCATTTTTGTTTTTGGTGCTCTTCAAATTCCTAAGATTTTAACAATATACCCTGACATTATGTACAGTGTGGGTTATGTCGTTGTAGTTTTTATATTGCGTTAGCATTAGGGTTGTAATGTATATCTAAATGTAGTATGCACAGTGTACTACATTGTATATTGCTATATTGCTACATTTATACATGGTACACTATATTATCTACTCATACATTAGTTAGCAATGTACTACATTACTATTATATTATTAATATATTTTGCATGTACTATATTGTATATTGCTATATTAGTATACATAGGACAATATATTATATATTAATACATTAGTATACAGTGTACTACATTACCACTATATTATTAATGTACCACATATATACTTCATTGTATATTGCTATATTAATATACATAGTACACTATATTATATATTAATATAGTAGTATGTAATGTACTACATTATACAATATTAGTATGTAGAGTATACTTGATTATTATATTACTATAAGGCATGCATTATATATTGCATTATATATTACTATGCTAGTGCAAGTAGTATGTCACATTATGTATCGCAATCCTGGTTTACTACAATGTATTAATTAAAGTGATATGATATGAATAAATACATACGTCAAAATAATGCTGATCAACATGAGGAGGTACTGTTTGTACATTTATTGGCAACATATTGTTCCTTCAAGCGAAATTAACGTGGATATTTATTGAAATATGTGTAACCATTTATTCTTTATTAATTAACTATTTATTTTTTATTCCTTAATTATTGTCATTTACATAATTCAGTCATGCATTTAGTTACATATTGCAGGTTAATAATGTTAGCGATAATTACGTCTCTATCTCGGCAAAGTCAACATTAATTTTGCCAGAAGCAGCTGCACGTTTGCAGTAATTGCAGAATCAAAATGTTCGAAACTAGTTACTTCCATAATTTATGGTTTGATAATTTTAGTGTCAATGGTTAACATCGTATCTTTGATTATGCGAACGTTTTGTAGTATTTATTTGCTTGATTATATAATTCATTTCGTTTCCTGTGTTTGTCGAAAATTCGTGTGTAGCGTCTTTGTAATTGTGTCAGAGAAGATTTCATTACATTGTAAAGTTACAACCTAACCAATCAGACCCACATTCCGTCCGCTAACCAGCTCCCCAGCAACGCACATACCAGAGAGGGGAAGATGGCGCTGTGATAAATGGACGTCTAGTGGTTTTCTAGGGGAAAGTTCTTGGCGTCGCAAAGATTAACTGCAGTGTAGATTTTGGATTAATCCATTAACCTTTAATGTACCATTTATTTTCTTTCTGCATTGCACCTCAAATCATTTATTTATATTAGTTATTTGTCTTTACTTTTCTTCATAAAATTGAAAAAATATAATAAATCATATTCTTTCCTCTGACGAGCATAATAATAATAATATAAATAACGAGATAAAATGCAAAGCTGGTGCAATAAGGATAATAAAAGAAGAAAAGATTTCTGGATTAAAATCTGTTCATAAAAGCTGTTTATTAAAAGATAAGAAGATTAAGTATAATAACATAAAAGCTACAGGAATTATAACTTTTTGTCCATTAAATTCATAAAAGAACAGTTTATATTTTTAAATATAAGCATATGTAAAGTTCGTCGACAGAAAAATCTTCGATTATTAAATCATTTTGAGGAAATGATACAAGGAACAACCGGTAACAAATATACTCATTTTTGATGCCAATTACCATAATCATATTTCCCAACGAATTTTTCAAAACGTAGAATCCGCAAAATTGGGTAAATTTTGAATCGTCGTAAATTCTCAAAAATCGTTTCTGGTAACAGTTTCGGACAAACTTCCAAATGGAGTGGTATAGGAAAATTTGAAATTTCGCCAGAACTGAATAACGACGAGATGAAACTATTCGATTTGAAGTTTGACGTTTACGTGTATCAATTTATTTATTGATTTTTTCGATAAATAAAGTTTATCGAATAAAAGATTAAAAAAAAAAAAAAGAGAAACACGAAGAGAACGATTACAGTTTACCAATAAAACCCGTTTCTATGAATACAAAAACGTCACGTGATGGCCCAATTCAGAGGAGAAACAGTTTGGTAACTTTTGTTTGTTTACACGACGAGAATCGATCAGTTTTAATCACGATCGCGTATCACGTATCGCGACCTTTCGCTGCTGCGAGCGCCGCATGGCGGTCGTGTGTCGAAACGCGTCTCGTTATTCGAGAGCACGGCAGGTGGTGGGGGTACGGGCGCACAGTGTTTGCAAATATCTGCGGTTAGGCAACGCGAAGAATTATTACTTAACACGATGCCGGGTGGACTCGTTAATTTCATTGGCGACATGTATCGCTTCGCCAAATTGCGAACAGATATGCATACACGAGCGAAAATTTGTTACGTTATATATCTAATACAATAACGCAGCGATTCACCAATCGTTCCAGTTACACGGTCGAGTTGAGTGAAATTAATTCCACAGGGAAGTTACCGGTGACGTAGAGATTTAATGGCAATAAAACATCGATAGGAAAGGAAGAAAAAGGGACAAATAATTTTTAAACAACGATTATGAATAACTTAATTTGTTCGTTTAAATTGATTCTTAACTTAGATGTTTTTTCTTTCAATATGGAAAGAGAATATTAAAAAAAAACTTTTAATTTTGATATTAGGTAACAGGAGAATTATCCATAATTTTTATTATAGGTAAAGAAGAGAGATAATAAATAATTTCGAAATATTAAATGCAAGAATAAATTCTATAATTCTAAGAGTTTATTCTCTTTTTTTAATATTTTGGGAATTTTTAATTCTTTTTGAAAGAATTTAATATTTTTATTTTTTAATAAAAGGAACTTTTATATTTCTGCTATTCCTGCTATTGAATTTCACGTTTTTGTAAAATTTCTACAACACGGTCAGTTTTAGAGAGAAAATTTTTTGTATAAAATATTTGGTATCACTGTTTGTATATTAAGAGCTGGACAAATTATTACAGCAATTTCAGCAGCATTTTTATTGAGCTAAAAAGCGGAGGAAACGCAGTGTTTTGTAATATATACGCTTTATCGGCTGTTACTGTATTTATGATTATTTTCTGAATTATTAGGTTGATCGGGAAATTTTGTCGCTAGGTTTTACTGGTACATTTGCAATTTTATATTGGAATTTTCATAAGTCGTAGATAAAGTACACGTGTACACACTACCGCGCGAAATTTTCGGATTTACCAAACTTTATAAACCAGAAAATAAAGAAAAGATATTCGGCGATAAAAATGAAGCTGTATAAGTGTTGGAAGAATATTTCGATAACGAAAACGTAAAATTCTGTAACAATGAAATAAACGTAGATTGAAATTGAGAATTATGAGGTAGAAGCAGAACATTCATAAGTAACGATCAATATTATATCAAATATTAATAAATAACAATTTTAATTAAAATGATTGATGTCATTCTCTCCCTTCAAACAAGAAAGAAAGAAAACAGGAAAATGTAATCAATGTTTCTATCAATTTAAAATATTGGAGAGTGAGAAATAAAATTTATGTATCAACGATATTTAAAAAATTAAAGATTAGTGTCATAAATATGTTGGAAAGCATTAAAACATCTCAATTCATACTAATGCCATAAATTACAAGACTGAATTTTACTAAAAAATTAAAAGAGGCGTTGGAAAAAGCTTCTAGTTATCCAGAACTATTTTTACACTTAATAATTTCAGAACAAAGGTAAGCATGTTAAATCTACCAAATTTTACTAAACGACACTACTGAAAGAAGATGTAGGGACTTTTTGGTTACCCAGAAGCAGTTGCTGAACGTGCTGAGGCATTACGGGCTTCTTCAAATGGCTGAGAAAGAGTTGTAACGCGGCTGCGCACTCCAGAGCCGCGCCATTGTTGCCTAAATGAGGTTTTTCCCCTTTCTTCAACGAGTTGAAAATCCGTCTCCTGAGATCGCTGTGCCCTGCACGTCGAAACAAACCCTCCTCTCTGGCATCTTGAAACAAAAAAGCGATTTTCTGATTCTCTTAATTAAAATAACCATGGTCTAATGCATTTAGAGAGAGAGGGAGAGAGAGAGAGAGAGAGAGAGAGAGAGAAGGAGGAAGAGAAAGAGAAAGGGAAAAAGGGAGAAAAAATATATTCAGACGTTTCGTTGATCTAGTATGCGAAAATATACTTGCTTCGTGGTTTCGTATTTCTTACGTTCTTTTAGGAAGTTGATGATCTGCTTTACCGTCTGCAGCGATTTCTTTGATATTATTTCGTCGTCTGTGTCCTGTCTGAGAAGAAATATTCGGTGGATGAGCATTCGTAGCGCCATCTGCGGTGATGAACGATATTAAAAAAGTAACTAGAGATCACATGCCAGGTAGGCTTGGAATATATACAAACGTGATCGAAATTTTTACATAAAAGAATAATAGAAAATGGGAAAAAATGGCGGAAGAAAAATTCTAGAAAATGGTGGAAGATGGATGATGAAAAATAATTAAAAAATGATAATAAAAAACAAGGGGGTAAAAGAAATGTTACAAAATGGTAAACACAGAGTAGGTAATAGAAAATGATCGAAGAAAAATACAAAATAGAACAAGGAGTATAACAGGAAATGCTCAAAGGAAAATGACAAAATTGGTGTAGTGAAAGTAAAGGAAAAGGTCAAAGGATGATGGGAGAAAATGGTGAACAAAAGATACAAATATTTTATATATGAAAAAAAAAAAGAAAAATATCGTGAAAGAAGCAAATACAAAAAGATAGGCATAAAGCAGTAAATTAATAATTCTTGACTTCAAACGACCACAGTTTTGAAAGTCATAAATAGAACGCAAATATTGAAGTGTCATTTTATAATTAAAAAAAAAAGAAAAAAATACAATATTTTATACTCCAATCCACTGTCAACAAGATAAATTGGGTATCATAAAAAGTGATAAATTCAACTAACAAATAACCACGCTGATATTTGAAGAGATATATACGTTATTATATTATGCCTATAAAATTTGCTTTCGAAATAAAAAAATCACCTTGTAAACACAGAAAAAATATAAATACTAATAACTACACTCCGTTTCTTCGTTTAAACGATATATATTTATATATTTAGAAATAATATAGATATAATTAATAAGATAAACATAATATAGATATAATAATATTACAATAAATAATATAAATATTTTCCTATAAATTTATTTCCTCCAAATTTTCTAAGAAAAATTTCCCCCCAAAAGTACCCATAATTTAAAATTTAAAAACTAAATTTTTCTTCTCGACTATACGTGAAAATGTTCGTTAAATGCATACGAAAATCGAGCATATTCGCGTGAAACCGTGAGAAATGTGGATAAAGGGTGGAAAATACGAAGTGTTATATACATAGCAGTGAGAAACGTGTCTAGGAATACAAACGACTAGGACGTGACAGCGGTGACGTCGCTGCCACAGGCTGCTTAGGAAAATTCGTATGCTCTTGTCAAATTGTCCCCGGTTATTTGGAAAAAGTTTTACGCCTTTACGTCTTTGGGAAGAATAAATAAAGATGAAAGAAACCGAAGATGAAGGAAACGAAGCGTTCTATGTCTCTTTTAACCAGCTACTTTTGCATTCAAAAAATGTCCTTTCGTTTCATTCTTATGTTAATATTGGCACGTTTAAACGAGTCACAAAGAACGATTTGGAAGTCTGAATCAGCCCCATCCTTTAGACTTAAACCCCATGATCCTATGAACCGATTTATCTCGATTCGATTCGCACGAGAAAAATCTTTCTCATTTGACGTCACTTCTTAAATGGAAATATCTCTTTCCAAAATCGATGGACGCTCTTTTCGAAAGGAAATACAAATTCAAAATCGACGTTTCGCTGTTGCACTTCGTTAGAGATTTTTCTCCGGATATCACAAGAAATTTTTTAAAAATTTTCAAATTTTCCTATTTTCTCTAAGCCATTCATAGCTTTCAAATTTTCCTATTTTCTTTGACCCATTCATAGCAACTACCATGCAATAGCATCTTATTTTTGGAAAAAAGGGATTAGTGTATACAGATTTTTAAAATAAGTGTCTGCTTGGGTTACGAAAGTATGCCATTAAATTAATCGAATTTTTCTGTTTCTGAATTATTTCATTTTTTCTGAATTATGGTAACAAGAATTATCGTTATTTAAATTATTATGAGATAAACGATTGTCATTTAAATTACCGTAAATTAAATTCTCGTTGTTTGAATTATTATAAAGTTAATTATTATTACTTGAATTATTATAAGTTAGATTATTATATATTAAATTATCGTTAGTTGAATTATTATGAATTAAACGACGAGTAATTAAATCATCATAAGTTAATACAAAATTAAGGAACGAGAAATCATCTTTCGATCAGATTGTCGTGAAAATCGATGCAAACAAGGAGCGAGTGCGTGTAACGAGAGGTGGAGGGACGAAGAGAGAGGTTCGCGTGGTGAGCGTAATTAGGCGACAGAAAACGGCAATTAGAGTAATTGTACGCGGTGCACGAACTCACTTTGAAACAAATATATGTGCGTGAAACGAGAAATAAAGCTCGTATTTCATGTGGTAACTTTTGTCAGTGTACACTGATATAAATAATCGTGTTATTTATTATTACTTTACACTCGTTGATTTTTCACGTATTATCATAAATTTTGAAACTAGAAACGAATAAAGGACAATTATTCATGGAAATTCACAATCTGGAATTACCCTTGCAAGAAAAATTCTAACTTTTGATGAGCAACTGTAACAATTTTAATATATGGCATTAAAGGTGCTAAAAAAATCAAAGGCAGAGCTTTCGCCAGAGAGAAAGTTCTAATATAAAGTTACAGTTATATAACATAACTTTATTCAAAGTTATAATATGAAAGTTAAAATACAGATTTACTTCGTGTCAAGAGGTAAGATATAATATGACGTTACTTCAAGTTATAATATGAATTTCGTAATATAATTTTTTCCCGTTTAGCAGAATAACGCGAAATGAAATAATTAGTAAAATTGAATAAATTATTATACAGAACCAGATGAATGATAATTTTTTTCTTTGTCAATGCTAGTCCCACTGTTCCAAAATTTCTATATTCGGTGTAAACAATTTGATAGAAATTACTATGAAAAATTTCATCAAATTTGGTTTTATATATTCTCAAAAAACGAATTAAACAGAGAGATAAAGGAGAAAGAGAAATTAATTAATGGAATTTAACTTCCGAAATAAAAATTTAAGCACTTATTGAGAAGCAGGTATTTCCACGTTAATTCAATGATTTTCTTTTAATTATCCAAACGAAGTGGAGAATTAAATTCAAATAAGCAGAACTGTAGAAAAAAGTAGGATTTTTTAAAATTTTACCTCAATTATAAAAAATCTCATTAAAAAATAATCCTGTTCTTTTTACATTGTCTTTGTGTCTCTCACAGTTTTAATAATCGATGAATATTAAATTGTTGAATTAAATAAAATTACTTAAGAATTATTGAAAAATAATTTACATTCGTTTCCTTATTGTCTCATACCCATACAAGAAACAAGGCTTCGTATTAACTGTTGCACCAGCAATGATTGTTGCCTTGACGAAGAAACAGATCAAGGTTAACCTAACCTCAACACGTGTACCATCGAAGCATCTTCACTTCCGGCTACGTAAAGGAAATGCGAGATTCTGACGCAACGAGGAGGAAGTATATCCTTGGTGGATCGGTAGCTTATAAAAGCGTGACGAATGGCTGTAAATTTTAATAACCATATAAGCATGTTCGAGCGATCTACTCGGAGATTCATCCTCCTTTGTCTGCTCGTAAACGCGATCTCTGGATCGCCACGGTTCCAAAGCTGGGACGAGGGAGAAGAAACGAGATATCTGAGGCATGCTACCTGTCCCTCGTGTCGTAGAGAACAGCCAGGTGCCCTGGTTTCATGGTAAGAATTCCAATCTTCCACATTTTTTCACACTTTTATTCCCTAAACACCTATTCCCTTTATTAACACGCCCGAAGCTCATAGTATTTTCATTACACGGAACGCTATTTGCTAACAAATAGTTTTCACGCGAAATACTAATTAATAATTTAAATAATACTACTTTAAATAGTACACTAATTTAATATTATATAAAAATTATATTTAGTATTGTATAAAAATAATACTACTTTAAATAGTATACTAATTTAAATACTACTAATAATTTAACGATCAATACCAAGAACACCAAAAAATCATCCTCGTTACGAAACATCATCGATAAATCGAGAAGAGGTTTATTTCGGAATTATTTCCTCCACGAATACTTTCTACACACACTGTTCGACTCGCAAATCTCCTCCAATTATTTCCAGAATATGTACCGAACTAACAACTCGCGAGAGTAAATCTTCTTCGACTTTACCGAACGAATCGTTTCCTCTAGGGACGCACCATCGAGAGGAGAGTATCATGGACTTGATTCAGAGCCAAGTCCTTGGCAGACCAGTCAGCCGTTCAGATCTAACCCCACCTACAACCCAGCCTCCTACGATAACCCATTCAGCAGCCCGTACACCAGCAACTCGTATGGCAACTTTCCCAGCAACACATATGACAGAGCCACTAGAAGCAGAGGGACCCCGGGTGTCGCGAAATCAGGAGCCACCTGCAAACGCGAGAATCCCTTCACCATTGGAAGAGACCTCGATTTTGACGTTACTCCTGCGCAGACCACCCCTATACGTAGCATGAGCTACGATGCGATGACACCTCGTTTCCCGGTATCCAGATACCCTGACAGAACGCCATACAGGAAACCTACCTTCTACGACCTCATCAGGCCCCAATCTGACCCAGTATCTCCTAGAAGACCGTACTACAGTCTACCCAACAATCAGCTTTCCTATGGCAACTTCAGAAGACCTTCGAGTTTCTACGATGAGCCAAAGAGGAACCCTGAAGCAGTCTACAGAGCTGATAAGCATCTCGACGACTCTTTCGAGCAAGAGAATCCCATGATTCAACCGCAACAACCTCCCAGAGGGTGGAACATGGGAAATTCGTATGGGAGGGGTCCAGCAGCTGTTCGGACGCAGGGGTCAGACCGGTTCGTTCAACCTCGAAAGAATCAGCCTAGTGACACCAGGATGATCTACACGCCGGATGTCAAGTACAGTCCCTACAACCCGGCACCGGAATTGAACACGTACAAGATGATGCAGAACGTTGGTAGAGAGATTGTTAACAGTAGCAGGTGGCAGAAACAGTTGGAGGAAGAACAGGGCTCTGATGCCTACGAGATGAATGAAAATGCCGAGCAAATGGGAGCTGGGATGGTCGAGGAGATGGATGACGGTTATCAGGGTAATGACCAATTCGGGTCTCGCGAGGCAGTGCAGCAGGAAGAGATTAATGGGAATGGAGATGTCGCGAGTGAAGGTAGTAATTCTGGGGACAAGTCTGGACACGCGAGGAACAGGTCCCAGGGTGAAACTTCGTCGCAGGCTGGATTGTTGGAAACGGAGAAGATTACCGAGCCTGCTGCTAGGTTTGCCGAGACCACAGCGAAGGCTATGATTGCTGCTTGATCGCTTGGAAACGACGATTGACGGTCTAGGGAATTATTGTTGAGAAGTTGGTAGCCGAGCTATCAGATAGCGTATTTGTTACGACTGTGATTGCTGGTTGGAAGTTTCTGGTGCTGATCCGAGGGATAAATTCTCGTTGGAAATGCCGCTTTCTTCGCGTTCTATCTTACGTTTGCAGCTCGAGGCGAATCGAAACCGAAATCACTAAAATTTTACTAGTATTTTATAAATAAAGTTCTCGAATATCAGCGATCGTTGCTTTTTATCCGTTAGCCGAGATTCTCCTTGCTGTAAAATGTTCATGAATATTCCATTCGATTTACGCTTCGTCACAGTGCCCCCAAAAATACGAACAACAAACATCCTAAATATTCACGGGTCGATGTGTGCATTTACTGTTCGATGAAATGCGTCGATATGAAAATATTTGACTGGGAAGCTTCATCGTTAAAATACTCGATAAAACGGAGAAATAAAATCTATTTGCCGATATGGAACCCAAACATCCTATTACGTTAGTGATAACACGAAAAATTCCCTATGTCACCTATATAAAATACAAATTACATTAACGCGGCTTGAATAACCTAATTATGCAGATGAAGCTTCGTGATGAGTTCAAAGAAAATTATAGATAGGAAAATACAGTCGTCTCCATATTTTTGAATTAAAAAAAATTTACAGCGAATGAGGGCTGTTTTTAATACGTAATCCCGGCATGAGGGAGAATTTTGTCGAAATTGTCAAAGAACAGATACACAGGGATACTTTGAGGTACTTCGAGATAAAAATGTTTCTACTAAATCAGAAACTTTTGCATACCCATCAAACCTACCCTTTTTCTTCAAAAACTATGTTGCGATAATAACCAAAGCAGTGTAGAGATATCAAAAGCGAGTTTTCAGATAGGAAAAGAGCAATAAAGGAATGCAATAATGAAAAGAAGGACAAAACGAAATGCTAAAGAAAGAATTTTTATATTAAAAGGAAGAAAGATATCGAGGTTATCAAAAAAGGGATTCGAATGATGAAAAATACTGCAGTGGTACTAAAAGAGGGACTCCAAGGGGTAGAGAAGCATTACAACGGCAGCAGAAGTAATGGCAGAAGTAAAGGGAACAGGTAATAGGAACAACAAATACAAGACGATAAAGGGGAGAGAAAATAACAGTTACTAATACCTTTACCCGATTTTACAACCTCGTTACACTGTGAAGGGCTATACTTTCAGCGAAGTTGTATTACGAAGGTGTTCAAATGAAAGAAGAGAAGAACTGCAACGATTCGTGGAAAAACAAAGGCACTGGGTTAAGATTAAAACGTACTCTTCAATCCGCCAGAGGAGAAACAATTCGATCATTGCAGAGGAGAACTCCTGAGGAGAATTATAAAGCTGGTTAAGGTTCGGTCTAACCACGACTCGATTCGATTTCAGAAGTTGGAAGAAAATGGGGATGAGTTCCTCTTTCGTAATCCAATTGGACCACTGTGAGAGTAATCCGATAAAATGGGTGCTTTAAGATTAGACGAATCTTTCCGTTGTCAATCATCCACGTCACAGAACGTTGAAAATATCTTTCTCTGGAATCTGAAGAAGTTTCAAGAAATTGGAAAATTACAGAGGTTCATATGATGCAATGTGTCTTTATAGTTCTACTATAAAAGATATAACTGAAATATAAAAATGACCGGGTTAAAATTAGGAAAAATAATTGTAATGAAAATAATAAAGTTTTTTGTAAAGAAATTGGAAAATTATAGTTATTTATACAACGTCAAACGTAATACAATACTTGTATTATCAAAAATATAATTGAAATATGAAAAAGATAAGAATAAAAATATCCAAATTTAAATTAAACATAATTTACGTAACAATAGAAAAATTTTTTTATAGAGAAATTGCGAAATTATATAGATTTATATGTAAGGTACAAACATTTACACCTAAATATTTTAATTATTAAATACTTTATAAATATTGTAAAATAATTGAAGTACGCAGAAAGAAAAAGTAACACAATGTAAATAAAAAATACCTTAAATGACAATAATTAATTTTTCGTAATATTATTACAGTGCGTGACTTGCCGAACAAATCAGGAAGAACGTAACTTCTCCAGATTCCGCACTCGTAAAGTTACTTATTTAAATCGCAAGCACGAACGCGAGCTGTTTGCGCAATTTCTCATTATCATTTCATAATTATAAGGAATACCTGTGAAATAATATTGTTCAATGCTTACGCAAACTGCATTATTATTTTGAAAACATGCAGAAATAATGATAATCATTGTAACGTTGATGTCGATGAAATTGAGTTTGCTGTTTTATAATTGGAAAGCGCCTATGACAATTAACTATCCTCGACTTAAAATGCAAATTATTTTCGATCATTCCATTTCGCAGAACTTCGTAATAATAATTGGATATTAACTAACGGGTAATTACTATTGATTTAATTTTAATTTGAATACATTTAAAATAATTAGAAGGAAAAGTAACCAAAAATAACTAAAGGGAACTAAAAGTAACTAAAGTCATAAAAATGGTGAAAAACATGTAACCTAAAGTGCCTATTGTTTCTAAAATCTAAACATACTAAAAATTTCTAAATGTTACAAATAACGTGAAAATTTATTATTTACACCTTTACTTTAATTTAGTTTTACCTAATTATTGACAATTGTTCCTTATGCGATACAGTTTAAAGTAACTATAATATTAGCTACCTTATTTTTTTCCTAATTTTCTTTCCTAATTTTAAACTAGGATTATCATTAGGTTAATCTCATCTTGAAATTCAAGGTATTATAATCACCTTTGATTTAATACTAGTAGTTAATAGTTAACTTTTCATTACATGATAGTCATACACCTCAAGCTTCACAAGATTTTTTGATAAATCTCTTAAAGCCCAAATATTTACCCAGACAAGTTTTAGTCTATATTAATAACATTGCATTATTAATTATTAGTCATTCTTACCTAATTACGAAATTATTATTACTTATTAGTCATTCTTATCTAATTACAAAATGATTATTAGTTATTGGTCATTCTTACCCAATTACAAAATTATTATTAGTTATTAGTCATTCTTACCCAATTAGAAAATTACAAAATCAAATTGATGAAATCCACTATGCACAAATTTCTCGATATCGATACCAGCGAGTGCAATTAATACTTAGGTTCTCAGAAACAAACTATGATCGATTAGTTTGGCTTTTGCACGGCTTCGATAACCTCCAGTTACATAAGTCTTAATCAAAATTCTCAAAGCATCAAATATCGCGGTAAATTTTCTGTCCGGGTGATGTTCGTTCCCTTCAATTTCATGGAAAGCCTCGTTATCGCAGCTCGGAACAGCGGAAAAGTGAACTAGTCCATGTTTTGTTTCGATACACCATTCTATTTTTGATTCACAGTGTCGTTTCACGCACAGTGACACGTGCGTTGATCAACACACCGGTGTCCAGTGTCAACAAGTGACTCAATAACGTTGACATTTCGCTTGGTCAGCTAGGTTGCGTATTCCTGTTTTGTGTGTGATTTCCAAATCAACGGGACCACGGAATCCGACGGATACCTTTAAAAACCGAATGCACCACTGAAATCGTCACAGTTCGACATCGAAGAACAATCCGAAAAAATGAGTCTCAATATCAGTTTCGCGATTTTCCTTCTGGGTTTGGCTCTCAGCCAGGCCATCCCAACCAGGAAGATCGAGGAGTCGCTGACCAAGTCGAATCTGAAGCTAGAAGAGACCGGTGAAGAGGTGGAGAGATCCAAGAAGTCGGTCGTGTGCCTGGATTCTGGAAGCATGACTCCCCAACTGCAATCTTACAACATCCAAACGGCACCTCAAGTTCAGACTCTCAGCATTCAGCCTGCGGGACAAAGCGTTCAAACGTTGAATATCCAGGCTATACCTCAGCAAGTTCATACCCTCAGTATCCAATCTGTTCCACAGCCTATTCAGACAGTGAGCGTGATCCAACCACCTGCCCCAGCCATGAAGCTGATTCAACATCCACCCAATCCTTGCCCTCCGAGCCAAACTAACGTGAACATAATCCAACCCTTAAAGGAAGAAAAGCCCGTAAAGGTCAGGCCTCCAGTAATCGAAGCCATTGTGCATGAGAAGATAATTAAGTCTGAACCCAAACCAGAGAAGCTAGTCGTTCCCAAGGTGGAGAAGCAGATAATGATGCCTACAATGCCTGTTTACGAGGAACAGGTGGTTATGGTTCCCCCGAAGCCTATGATGCTGGTGGCTGAAGCAGAGCCAATGACTAGCTGCGTCAAAGAGCCACATTGCCATACTTGCCAGCAAGCTGTCATGCAATGTTCCTGCAAGTCCCATGGTGTGCCTGCTATGAGACCTGCAGTCATGGTGGAACCAGCCATGCATCTTGTGGAAGTCAGGGAACGTCCTGTTGGCCGTCACATGCTGACACCGATGCACCGAAGTTTAATACATAATGTAAGTTGAAGATTTCTGAATACTTCTCTGATTCATTCTCACGTCTAGTGGACGAAAATTAACTATGATTTCCTTATTCCGCAGTTATAATCTCTGGAGCTTGGTGTCAATCAAGCCTCGGAGTTAGTATAGTTGGAAAACAAAGGATATAACAATTGTTAAAAATATGAATAAAATTTGAAGAAACATATGTCCACTTGTCCATCTTTTCTCAGTAACCATCAGACGTTCCATAAATTTATCTCACTCAGCGATGAACTAGCTTGAAATATTATCGTTTCATCCTTTCTATCATAATCAAAAGTAATCCTAACCTAAAATTAATCTTACCTAATCTTACTTAGTCATGAATCATGTCGAGCGCCCTCTGCATCACCTAACCTATTCGACTTTCCTTGAATCGAGGAACCAATCGATTCTCGACCCAGAGAGAATCGCCATAATCATAGTTCCTTGGACTGACAGTCTCGAGGAAGATCCATTTACCAACTCGACGAATGTTTGGAATCACTTACACTCAGAAGAATCGACCATAGTGGGGTCTGATCAGTGAATCCCCGACGATTTATCACGGAACGTCCAACGAAATGGCGTATGATTATTTTCAAGGGAACTGTCAAAAGATTCTGAACGATAGTCTATTAATGGAGGTAATAGCATTGTATATAAATATCGATTATCACTGTTGAGTCTATCGATAAAGCGCCAGAGAAAAATGATTAAGAGTAATTAACCTCGACGAATGTATTTAATTAATACAGTATCGTCAAATGCATCGATATTCACGTTTATTCCATTGCACGTCAATACCTATATCTAACCAGTATAAATTTGTTCGCATAAATAATCGAGGACATATTTAATCGGTTTCCAATTATGAAACAGTACGAAAAAATTTGGGTAGTGACGCATGAGAGCCACGCAAGTGGAGTATTAAAATTTCGAATAGTTGTATAGGAATTTGTTTAATGACAATTTTGGAAGATTCTGCACTAACCTCTTCGAATTTTGCACGCCCATAGCTCAACCCCTGGGTCGAGAAGTTCCGATTTTCAGCACGAGGATTTCGTCCTACGTTTGTTTACTATGTTAAACAGTCAACCGTGGAATTTTAGAGGGTTCATCCGGACCCAAAGCTTATGACATGCCGCGTGAATACTTCTGGGAGCGACGTAAATGTGTGCAATCAACACACGCCACACGCGGCCACTATCTTTTGTCTCGCTGTCGAAGTCGTAGATGGGGTGCCACGAGTGAATTCGCCGATCGTTTCTGTCCTCGAATCGCTTCAGTGTCAAAGATCAGCTTGAAATTTATCGATCAATCGTATCATGCTGTGTCTTGGTTACATCCAATAACTTCTGGCCTTTCAATGACAGAAATGTCGAAACCTTTCGCGAGTTTATCGGCTTAGTGGGGTTTTAGGTTAGGTTGTCGTCTTCCTCCAAGAGCAAATAAGTAGTTTCGTAACTTCGAAGATACGTAAGTAGTTACTTGGGACATAAAAATTGTCTGTCTAAGTTTGAACATTTACTCTTATAACACCTTATGGAGCACATGAAAGATAAGTTACTTGATATCTCAACTCTCTTACGTCATAAGCTATAATATTAGGGAATCTACAAGTTACAGTTTGTAGGTTATGTACTTTCGATACAGAAATAATTTTTACAAATTTGTGAGTTATTAAACATATAAATTAACGATTAAAATATTATTTTTTAATAATAGTATTACATTTTTGTATATTTTATAAATGTTTATTTAACAATGTATATTTACGAATTTTAGGAGCACAATGGTAGAAGGATTATATAGAAAGCAAATAATTTTTGTTGGATATTAATGTTATTAATTGCTGAGAGAAGGACTTTTAAAATTAGAATTTTAGGTTAGGTTTTCCAGTTACTTGATTTTCCTTAAAGAAAATGAAAAGTAATTTAATTATTATTGTACGAAGTTCAATTTTCACTGATTCTATTCCAAATCAGGAGTCATCAGGCAACGAAGATTAGGGAAGCGACTTGATCGATCGATTTGTATGGAAATGATCAATATCCGGTCTAACATGTAACCACAAGCTTCTATTTGTTCATTACGTCGAGGAGGAGGCCGGAAATTGCAGTATTAATGGCGTGTAGCCCATTATCCACGAAATTTGGTTCGTCTTAGTAGTAGAGGCAAAGGGTTCTAAAAGTTCAAGCAAACAATTGATTCTAGGTTTTGTTAACAGACCAGTTGGCGTACTGATTGTGTTTGACGAGTGATAAATTGGTTTCCACAGTTCTGATCGATTAACGGTTCTATACCTAACCTATATCTGTTTAACTTCCATTTTGTAGGTTAGGTTTGAGATTAATTTTCTTTTTTGTATAATTTCCGCTCGATGCTTTTCCATTTCGCTGGAGTGGAAAGTTTCGTTAAATTGAACCACGATTTAACCTTTATTCTATATTTTTTAATGGATTTTATTACATAAAACAGAGAAAACGAAATAAAGTTGAATATCTTAACTCAAATCGAAAACCAAACTGTATCTTGTTACCTGTGATCCAATTAAAGCTTATTTCTTTTCTGTGAAAAATATAATCTAAGCATATTTAGTTCCAATGTTAATTTAAATAATAATTCGTATGTTATTATACAATTGATGTAATGAAATTTATGATACTCTGAATTTACCGAATCTTGTAATAAATTTATAAAAGAAAGTAGGGGAAGGAAATTATTTGATGCTAAGAAAATATAATATTGATTGAAGAAAATATAATAGTACAACCGATACATCATAATTCCAGTAATCGTTATAATGGCAAATGTTTGTATCACAACTTTCGTATTTGAAAGAGACATAAAAGGTTGTGAAAAATGCTGATGTTTCCAAACTTTTCTTTGACAGAGGAGGCACGTTCGAGTGACACGATGTTACAGAGGGTAAATCTACTCCACCGAGTGAGGACTTCCCCTCCTTCCCTTTATCCGGCGAAAGATATCGTACACCTCCGGTTCCAATAACAACCTGTCGACGTTGCAGTCGTACTTCCCTTCCGTCGACGACGAGCTACACAAATACTCCGAATCTTCGACTGAAAACCTCGATTGGCTGTTTCGAGAATATACCCAACTGAAGACGGAAGCGAAACACCTCGCGAGACTTTGGTCTTTCTTGTCTCGTCGTAGTTTCCTCGAGACAATGCGATGCACAGTGAGGAATTACGTCGAAAAACTGTCCAAAATACGAAGACATATTTTGATTCCTACAAAAATTGGTGTCTTTCGATTTTGCGCGTAGCTGATTACGAATTTGAAGTCGGAAGTGAAAAGAAACAAAATGGCGGACAGATATTGCGTCGCTTAGTAAGGAATTTCGTCGAAAAGCTGTCCAAAATACGAAGACATATTTTGATTTATACAAAAATTGGTGTCTTTCGATTTTGTAGGTTACCGATTACTAATTCGACGTCAGAAGTAGCAAGAAACAAAATGGCGGACAGATATGTAAAAGAATATTTGATTTGGGTTACGAATTTGAAGTTAAAATTATAAATTATAATTTTGATCTAAAACATTTAATTTGTTGCAATTTCCTGCACAGACTGTATAAGAATCGTCTATTATTTTAAAATTGAAAACCGTTGATGTAAATATATAAGTATATTAGCAGGTGCTACTAACATAGTTTATGACCTCGATATGGTAACTGGCTAAAAAAGAAGTTAATTTTCAATTTCAATTTTCAACCAAGGTAAACCAATTTTCACGTGAGGTTTAGCGTTACTATCTGTTGTAATTTTTTTTTTTTCGCATGGTAATTTCTAATTGTTTCTAGTGATTTCATTTGGCTATTTTATATTTGATATATCGACGATCAAAATTTATACGCGTTTCAAAATCCGCAAATGTCGTAAATTTGGAAATAAAATTTTCTAACAGATATACAGAATATCTCGGGCAATTGGCGTAAGCTATATTTCTGGAACTGTTTAAAAGCAAGCAATTATAAATTATAATTATAAATATGCACCAGTACATTTTTTTACGGAACCATATACTTTTAATTACATTATTCAGAGCAATTTTTCACTTTCCATAAAAAGCCACGAAGAAAATTTATATTTTAAACTGTTCCAGGTTATTTTTGTGATAAATGTTCGTGTTACATTTCTGCTGAAGCACAATGTTGAAAGTTTTGAATATTATATAGGGCATCCTATTTAAATTGAATATTTCAATTAATTCCACTGCCATTGAAAGTATATACATAACTCTGTATCCAAATTTCATGCATTTCTATGCACATTCTTTCTCTTTGCCTCCAATATCATTTGGAAAAATAAATTTTTAAGTCGTTTTTGCAGAGACACTGCAATCAGTTATAAATTCACGCAAGATTTGAATTTTGCGCCATTTGTGCGGTAAAGTGTTACCAACAAAAGAAAAAAACAGCTGACAGTTGACAGTTCAGGGTTATTAAAAATGGAGTGCTACACGAAAGAACAACGCGTCTTCATTGTCGAGCAATATTTATGATTTTTAATTAAAAGCCTGTGTTTTCTATCCGAATTACTTCCTGCCTTAATTTTAGGGCAATATTCATTTTTGGGTCGGTAAGACAGTCAAAGTTGGCCATGAAAATTCGTATATTTGTTATTTTCGTAACTAGATGGCGGTAGCTTCGAACTCTCGTCAGCCGCCATAGTGCCAATCGCTCTCTGTCTCGTTCCGTGCTTCACGGTCCGGAATTTCAGTATCAACTTCAGTACGTATTATTTTCTTTGGTGCAGTGGGTGAACAAAAAGCAGCGATAAGGATGTAGCTTCACCGTGTCCCGAACCCACGGAATGAACTGGATATCGAGGGTTTATCCATGAAATCGACAAGAATCGACGGATCACTCGCTTCTCGCGTTTCCAGCCACACACGTCGAACCGAAAATGTCGATCCTCTGCGTGAGACGATCCTACTGTTCCCATTTTTCGTTTTATCGTGTTTTACGAGCTTCAACACCGGTGTTGTTCTTTCCCATTGAAAGGCCGATGTGATATGTACGACCAGGGAGACGGGTTTGCACTTAGAGGTTATGTAGGCCCGGGCGATGTTCGAGTTATATACCGAGTGTCTCATTTTAACCGATCCGACAAGATTTCGTGGTTTGCCTTGGATCTCAACATTTATTTCTTTGTGATAATTGAATTTGATGATAAAAATTAAATTTGTAAATTGAAATTTAGACAGATATTATTCATGGTTTAAGTAATTCTTCTCTAACCTCAAATTCAATTTTATATTTTCTTAGTACACTGACCTTTTGCACTCTAATTTGTGTTTAATAATAAAGGTGGAAGTGTAAGAAAAATTACCGTGTAAATAAATTCACAGATATTTGTAACTTTTCTCTTTCAGACATAATTTTGCTTTTATAAAGTTCTTTACTGGAAAAGTACGTTAGACACGAAAAGAAAATTTCCCGGAGTACAAAGTGTTAATTGGCAATTTCAGTTCTATTCTTTCGTATTTTTTAATTCAGAAAGGCGATAAAGGTGAAAAATAATTAATTCATATCAAAATTTAATCAATTGAAATCAAAGTGAATCGAGTCCAATAAAAGAAAATAAAGTTAATCGAGCCAAATGAAAAGTCAATTTGAGCGAAGCCACATTAAGTCTAATAAAAAATCAATGAAAGCAAAAGTCAATTACATTAGTTAGTGTTGGTTATAATTGGAGCTCACACGTTAGCATTCGTTGGTCAAAACTTATTCGGTTTTTGTTTTCTTTTATCCAATTCACGATTATGATGAATTTTTTGAGGTTATGTACTGAGTGGTGACAATTATAAAGGTATTAGTATGCTTCAGTGTATCATCTTATTTCTGCTATGCAAAATTTTTACATAAATTGTGATAGTATTTAGAAGGCGTGAATAGAGCTATAGCTTTAGAACTACTGTTCCCTTGGTCGTCATTTTCATTTTGGCTCCATAGATAATCACGCTGCTTTACCGCTCGAAAATTGGCGCGAAGAATGATACCGGATACGTTATAACGGTCGATAAGACCTCGCGTTTCCGGTGGTCTCTCAAAGATTTTTCTCCACCATTAACCACGTTAAATGGTATTCGATATTTCAGGCGGTAACGGGGCTGCTCGAGTTCGTGATACTACTGGCATTAACCGGAGTCCTAGCCTCTGTCGCTGCTGTGCTACGTTTGATGGAACTGACCATCAACCTGATTCATCCACTAACCGTTTTTGTGCTCCATCAGTTTGGCAAATTGATAATTGTGAGTATCGAAATGGAATTTCGAGAGATACATTATACACGAAATAACTTAATCGTTGGGGAACTCCTAAAATGAAATTTAATTCATGTTTGATAATCTAGGGAATTTTGCAAACATGGTTGAAAGAATGGTCCTTTTGTCAGTCTAACAAATAGGTTAAGTCTTTCAAGAACCATGATGCACAGTAAAATTCATATATGATGATCTAATATTTTGTGAATCTATTGGAATTTTTGTTTTATTCGATTAGTTTGATACTTATAAGAAAAATCCCTAGAGAGAAGCGTAACATTATATTAAAGATTTAAGTTTGAAATGTATAATCAAATTACACGTGTAATTCTTTGTTTCATTTATTCCATATGATTAGAATATTTGAATGATTTAATCTTATAAAAAAATCACGTGAATACGATTCGAAATCACTAGATATCACGATACGAAAATTACGTGATACGATTATAATTTCTAATTTCTAGTTAAATGATGTAGATTCGAAAGTTATGAATTCAATTATGTAATTTGCTCTGGTTTACGTGATCCATGCTACAGGGTATCTCACCTGGTGAGATAGAAATGTCCCTAGGACGAACTATAGTATTAATTTCTAGATTCTAATCGGTTCTTGGATATCTAATTCTATGCTTAATTTCGTCGAACGAATTCAGATGATCTTAAATGATAAATATGTATACTATACCTTTAAAAAGATACTAGAAAATCACGTTGAAATAAGATAGCAAGATGGTTAACGCCATTCGGATTAATTAGTTTGTCGTGTTGAATATTCGTCGACGGGTTTGTCGTGTGCAGTTTGCGAACGTTAGAGAAAATGGAAAGCTGTCTGCGGGACTGCGGGAAACCTGCTAAAATATTAGGTTATTACACGATTTCGTAATCCAGCGTCGTCGTAGGACCTCGTCGCGCGAATTATTCGGGAAAATTAGATCACCTATTTCATGCTCTCCTTCCGAAATTCTCTGCCGTTAATAATTTCTTACACCAACTAGTCATATTTTTGCTGGCTTTAACCAACGCCATTACATCTTCATCAAAAATAAATCTCGATCGAGTCGAACCTAACCTACAAATTTCCAGATTCTTTGTCTCTTCCCCTCTTCCTTAAGGAATAATAATATTTTTGTAAATTTGTTTGCTCCCTATCTCTCTAATTTTTCAAGTTTCTTTTTCAAAGAATATTTTTATTCCTTTGTAAATCCATAGATTTTGTCCCTTTCTCCTTTTCCCTCATTTCTTTCCACTTTCTATAAATAATACGAATATTCCCGTATAGAGAACACAACTTTTGTAATTGTATGTTTCTAAATTCCCGTGTCTTCCTTTTTCTTTCTCTCTCGCCCATTTTTACCTTCACCCAAGGAATAAAAACATTCCCTCGTACAGGAGATAGCTATCCTTTCGCAAAGCACAGGAATATCCTCTGTAAAGAAGAAAATTTCCTGTCCCTTTTCTTATTTTCCCTCAAGAGTACAAATACGGATATTCCTCTCCAAATTTATTCACCACCTTCCCCTAGATTTTTCACTTCTCACCCCCTTCTATCTTCCTCTACATCCATATGGTACCATCGAACCTAGTGACGCAGATAATAGTGTTTGATAGATAATTAGTAGATAATTATAATACACCGATAAACTGGAAATAAGAGGCAGGGCCAGAGTCCCGTGGCCAGTTAATGTTAAATACCTGGCTGTCCGCAGTTTGGGGCAGGTCAGAGTAAAAGGCTAACGTCCCACGCATTCGAGAAGATTCGTACGATGGATTGTGGTCGCACACCGCTGGTGCAAATAAATATGCGCCAACCATACGTTTGCTACTACAGAAGTGCTATACCAGGCTTGGTCGAAGAAACGTATCCCCTGAGGTTGGATTCCGAAATGACGGAGGAACAGGCTAGCACTGCACAGGCTGCTGACGGAAATGAAATTAAAGAGCACGAGATTCAGAACGAGGAGAAAACCATTGTCGAAGAAGAAATAACGTCTATTTCCGATCAGCCTGGTGAGAATAACGAAGTCCAGGAAGAACTATCCACTTCTGCTCAGATTGAAGACGCTGATGGGACTGAGGCGACCGAAGAACCCGAGGAAGTGACTACAGCTTGATTTCTTGAAAATTGTCCGTCTGTTCTCAAATGTATCAATCGCATATCTTCTCCGAATATAAGAAATTTCATTGTAATTGATTTTAATAATGAATTTTGTAGGTGAATATTACATGTGAGATTTAATTTGTGTTCATTGTGTTGTGAAAATTTTCAGGTTAGGTCAGGTGTGAGAATTTTTGGAACGTGCAGTAATTGGCTATTAAATTTGGGATATTGATCTTTCTTTCTTTAGATTGTTTTAGAAAAAATTAAATTACGAAGAGATATCGAAATTAAAGGGTATGGATCATTATTATTGTTATTATCACCTTTTCCTTTAAATTAATCAAAATTACATTTATTTCTTTTTTTGAACGAATTAAAATTGTTTCTCTTTTGCCTTATCAACAATATTTATAATATATTTTTTAATACGATACAGAATTTTAGTAATTAGTTCATGTATAGGATAAAAATGGTTGGTCATCATTGGGTTGGGGTAACCTTATTGTTAGTATCACGATCAATCTGCCATTTTTCGTAGCCACGTGACAAAATGGCGACTAGGGTCCACACTTACAATTTTACAACATTCTTGGTATTTATTCTTAATATAATATATATTATTGATATTTATTTCTAATTTTTGATATCTTTTCATTTACAGGATAGATTCATATAAAATTAATAACATTTTCTTTTTGTGAATTAATTTAGTATTTATTTGGTTTATTTTATTCCAATTTTGAGATTGCAAAATTACACATTGCTCCTTAGTTAATTCTTCTACGTCTTTTTTCGATTCTTTTTGTTTTTTGTAATCGGTTTATTGAATTAAATAGAATATCAGTTACAATTTCAGGTTTTAACGCATTTCTAAATGAAATTGCCAATGTACCTCGTCAATCACGAGGCGTTCTATCACAGTAAATACACGTTTCGATAAATTCTGCCTTGTCGTTCGAAGGAAATCGAATGCCACGGTTCTCGAACTGCTTCCAGCCTTCTGGATGTCCCTTTCAAACGCTTTCTCCGTGATGAAAATTCTCGGAAAAACGTACTTCGGCCTCGAAACCTCGTCATCCACCGATAATTAATTTCCCTCGTGAAATTTCAATTAAAAGTACGTCAACTTCCGCTCGACTTGACACCATAGGATTATCACATGACAGTCGATCATAATTGAAAATTTTATGAGTTGTTTTTGAAGATCTTCCATCATTTTTTTGTCATCATTTCATAATTTTACTGGGTCCATGAAAGGTCGTAAAAAGATTCGAAAAATATTCACAACGATTTTCTTTCTTTACTTATCCTTAATATTCGACGAAAATGATCAAGTTTAGAGTAAATTTGGATATCCCAGTAATTAATTCCTTAATTTATAATTGATCCACCATTTTATGGATTTCAGTACATCACTCTTGCGTCGACAAGCAATCAAATTCCTTGCAATATCAAACGAATGTAAATTTATCGTTACATTGTTATTAATTAGATCATGCTAATTTTTATTACAATATTATTCTATTAATTCTTCGATTATTTTTCCTATATTTATACAATATTATTATATTATATTATTTTGTATGCACATATTTATAATCTATTAAAGATATAATGATATGTAATAATAAAATTACTCAATGCAAATTTATTTTCCAACGTAAATAAAATTTGGCGTTTCATTTTTATTTAGAGAGAGAGAAAGCTAATTGGATTTAAAGGATTTTTCAAAGAAGAAATGTAAAATATATTTATCCCTTTCGATATCCAGCAGTGAAATACTGCCACAAAAAGAATCGCATAACCGTATAATAAAATTACAGAGATGTTGTTATAAATATCGTAACAATGGCAAACTTTGAAATACTTTCTTTTTTCGGAATGTCAGCTGCGCGCGAAGCTCGTCTCCAGTTTCCCCGGGAAATTTAAACGGGACAGAGAGCTTGGGGCGTTCTCAGGGAAAAAAACGGGAATATTTTTGCATAGAAAGTATTTTTATCACGAGCATTTTTCACTTCTTTTTTTTTTGTAATTTTCTGCCAAATGCGCTCCTTTGTTTGCCATGTTTTTCATTGGATTATTTCGGTACCTCACGTCGCGCAGAGAAATTCCTTTGGTTGCCGTACAAAAGGCAAAAAGGCGTTAAAAACAGGAATCATGCTGTATTTGAAGTAAAACTATTGTAAATTAGGAAAAGCGTAGTCGAGGAATTTTCCAGACCTGCGAGTTTTGGATTTCAATATCGAATTACTGTTTCAATTGACATTGACAAAATCGAGAGATACGAAACGATCGATAGAATATAGGTTAGAAAATATTTCGTTGACAGTGAATGGTGCTGCGTGAGATAAAGTGACAGCGTCAGATCGTTTCTAGGTTATGGTAAATTTTCAAGCGTGCATTGTTTCCTAACAGAGATACTATTACACAAAGATGAACGTAAGTAATAATCAATGTCGTGAAACTGATACTATAGCGTTCACAATTTTATACCTTCACCAATAAAAAATTATTTTCACCAAGTTTTGGTTTTACAAAGATGGAGGTTAAAAATGGTAAAAGATAACAAATATTTCATTACATAAAATTAAATGATTTTTTAAGGTATATTATGTAATACGTATTTCTGACTTAGGGTATCTCTATCTTTCTAAGAGAATGCAACTATACTTTTTTTTATTTTATGAAAATATAAAAATTTTATGTTAATATATTTATAATTTTCTATTTTGATGTTTCAATTACCATCGTTATCTTTGGGAAAATAAAATTTTATTTATAAAAATCGTATGGTATAGTCGGGGCTCTAATGTAAATATAACAATTTTTCCTCTAAATACCATGATATAAATATTATTTTTTTTTTTTTGGTAAAATAATATGCATTGAAACGATATTAACAAATTGTCGTGTAGAAAACAATGTTTCCACGAATAAAGTTTCTCTATATGTCCTAAAGAACAAAATAAGTAATAAATGTGACCAAAGTTATTTAACGCCATATTTTTTCACAATTATTTTTTCTCAGAGACGAATTAATTCGTTAACTAGTAGACGAATAAAGAATTTAACTTTAGTAAGCTTTATTACAATTTTTCATATAGCTCGAGGCTATTCTGACAGATTTGAGCGTCAAATTTCCCTATTTAAAACACGTTCTGCGTCCTCAGTTCGCGCCATATTTGAACACAGCGGGCACTATATTATTAGGATGGTTGATAGTTTCCTGGATCTCTTACGTAAGTTTATTCATATCGATTCCATGGAATTCATTATTTTCTTCTCCACTGTTCCAATTTATTATTCTCCTTGCCTCTCTATCATTTTAAATTACTCGTTACTGATTTATTATAAAACTCGTTCATATATTGTTTACTGTGTACATGATACATGTCCCAATTATACGGTTAATTAAAGCGGAATGAACGAAAATCTGTTTCGTCTCTAATTAACTTGTTAATTTCGGGGAAACCAATATTTCGTATACGATGTCATTTTCCTCCTTGAATTATTTATATTTTTACTGGAGAAAAATATAATAATCCTATTTTTCGTGATTTTTCAATTTTCATGTTACTTAATGATTAACGAAGACTGATTTGATAATATAATTGAAAAGAGAAATATCCTGTTCAGTTAAAAAATAATAGGTCATTCAAAAATAATCTTAAAATTTTATAAAATACATAATTCATTTTATGGCTATGGATTGTTCCTATTGATTATTCAAAATTTTATGAATAAAAAATCCTGTTAACAGGTTAATTTTCTAAAGACGAATCAAATATATTTTTTGACGGCAGAAAAATGGAATTTTCTAACATTTCAACCACTAAATTTATGGATTTTTAACTTCGATTTAATTTGGCAATGTTTTATCGAATGATCAAATAACGTTACTTAGGTTATTTGGGCGTTCCTTGCACCTTTGATGATTACGGTCATCGCCATAATTTTCGTTTGCCCGACGACCGTGAGATGGTGCATTAGTCAAACCGTTCCCGGCTTGGAAATCGTTTTCAACGAGTTTGTGGAAAAGTTCCAGGCCATTTTATGGCAAACACGCGAGTGACCAAAATTCAACAATGAGAGCCACGAGTTCAAACATGGTCAAATATAACTATGCTTCGTTCAAGTACAATTGCATAACTGTTCTGTCAATAAAAATATTTTCAGATGGGAAATGTTAGTTTCAGCGAAACAATTCAACGAGAAACGCGAAGTTATTATATAGAAATGTGGAAATACATTTGAAACATTTTCATGAAGACAATTTAATTTTTATAAAAGTATTTGCCTTGTTCCTTTTAAAGAAATTCGGGTTATATATGTTTATTATATGTTCGTATATACAGTAATTCCAGGAAAAAGCAAGTGGAAACGTACAGAGATCTGGGGTAGCGAGTAATGTGCCCGATTACCATCCAAATGGCTCATGTTCAAATCCCCATGCAGTCATGTAGTTTTTTCGTCGTTGAAAAACATTTTTCCTACTGTCTGCCATGTAATATATACTACCAATAAAAATAAAAAAATACATTTGAGAAGCTTTTCACATATACTAAATTAACAAAAAAAGAAATGAAAATTAGTAGAAATTAATTTAGAGTAAAAATATATATACAGGTGTTTTAGGGATTTTGCGGCGTAATTACTAAGCTCTTTCAGTTTCATCAGTATTGGAGAAAAGCTACGAAGGATAAAGGAAAAGGGCTTTTAAAGAGATCTTTGAGGATTATACAATTGGACTTTTCCCTCTCACGTTGGCAAACAAATTTGTAACACGGTTGTTTACAAGGGTACAGGAGCAATTTGTCACGGAAGCGTCGAGTCGGATTAGTTGCAATTCAGGGAAGCGTTCATTGAAACGAGAGAACCGATGTCGGAGATATTTTAATTGCCTTTCGACCCTCTTTGTGCTATCCCTCTGTAAGTGTGGCAAATTTGTGGCTCCGGGCGTTCCGTTAATGGAAGTAAAAAAGTCCTTTGTGACAAACAACATTTAATTTCATT